TTGAAGAGAGTCCGACCACACGTATGCCATATTTGGAACAGACATTAACAATGTATTCTACGTCCAGAGTGAAATTAGGGGAGAAGAGAGCATTGGTCCGGTGCTGGCATTGCCAGGGGTTGGAACCGCGCATTATCCCCGTGTTATCCGGGGCATAAAGGGAATCTGGCGCGACACCATTTCCCGTAATATCGACGGACCATAAAGTACTTCTGGTGGAAGTGTTAGGTGGCTGAACGTCCACAAAGCGATCGTACCCGACACGTGGAGAGCCGAAAGCGCGACCTGGGGCTGACAGCTCGACTGCTGCGGGAAATCTCGTCCGCTCTCCGGGCGTCCCGAGGAGCGGAATTTGTATGGCCCCGAATTTTTTTCCACCCCCGTCGATGGAGGGCCGATCGCGCCCTCGTGTCCTCCACGAGTCACCGACACTCCGGGTTTCGGACCGGCCGATTCACGGGATCCGGGGAACTCTCTCTCAGAGAGAGCTTTGTTGTACCTCGAGAGCTCGAGGGGAAGCTCGAGCCCCGACTTTGCTCGGCAAACTTCTCCCTAAATCCATTCTTTCGCCGAGGCGAGCCGCCTCGAGACGCGGGGCACTTCCTGGGGGATGATATTGGCCCATTCGGATGGTAATTGAAAGGAACCGCGTTATTGGGATGTACGTTAGGCGCGGTTGAAGATTGGTACAAGACCACCTCCCGAGGCCTCCTACAAAGGGACACGTTTCCAGATCTATTTCTATCCTATTCTCTACGTAATTACATTGTCAAGGGTATTCCTTCTCCTGAAAGTGTCATACAATTTCCTATCATTGTACTTGCATTTTTTCCGCAATTAATCTCTCCTGAGAAATCCCTTCTTCCCAAGTCCCTGGAGCTGATACTCATAATTCCCGATTGTTACTTATTAACGAAGAGGGATTTTTCAATATCGCTAAATACTTCTTTTCGTGAAATGACGCGGTATCAATTTTCCCCCTTTTTAAATTTCATGTCGCGCAAATATGGCATACGGTAGTGTGAGTGGCCTTATCAAACGATCTCTTCGCATTTTCACGGGCATTCTGCATGTTTGTATTAAAAATTACGGGAATGGCATGCCGGCCGTCCTACGCCGGTAGGTGTACATTGTTGGAACATCCCAATTGCACGGGGTACTCCCTATTTATTTGTCAAATAAAGTGGAAATAGTATTCCGGGGGAAAAAAATCTTCCTCCCTGGTTTCTGCAATGGCAATTATCTCGTTGATCCGCGATTGGCGTGTTCGCGTTTGGAAGCGGTCCAAATCCACGCGGATTTCGCGAAACGCTGCGAATTGGTGTACCAGAGGGAACGAGGTTTATCTACATACCGGAGGATGTTCCTTTTTGTCGAATGTCCAATCTGTGTGTCGATCGTTTGCTCTCGTTTCGTCGCCTGGGCATGTTTCACCGAATTACCGAGGACCGTCTAATAACTCCAAATAACTCCGCTCGATGAAGAATCAATACCCTGAAAAAAGAACTCAAATGTATTCCCATGCAACACTCAACTAGAGAACATAACGAATACATAGAATTAATTAATGCAATCGATCTAAATCCGATTTATAAATCATTAAAGCATATGATACGTAGTGTAAAAAGAAATCCCTCGATTACCCTCCACGTGGAATTATTTTCCTCGACCCTTCCGACTGAATTAAACATCCTTAATAAACATAAACTACTCAGTATAATATACGTTATTAAATAATTTAATTGCTATTTTGGTACTTAAAATATTACCGGTGCAATTACTTTTTCCCCGCCGAAAAGTCAGAAATGACTTTCGCGCGAGAGCGTCATACTTCGGAGGGCTTTGAAATGATTTCCGTCCACCCCATGGAAAATCACTCCCGGAGTCCGTGTATATCCCAATTTGGAGCAGGATGACACCCCGCGACAGGGGTGAAAATTCCCGTTTCGACGTTTGCTCCGGCGGATGCAAAATTTTCAATTACGAGTCCCCGGCCCGATCCGATTGTCCCGGCTTGATTACCGATTCAATTGTTGTAACGAATGCGCGGAGGAGATTCGTTTCTATTTGCCGTGATGTACAACAACGGGTCTATTATTATGAACGGCTCGTATCATCCGAGCCACCCCCGCAACCCTTTCGCGGGTCTTCTCGCCCCCGTCGCGGCTTACCCCCCGCAACGCCTCGTATATCTCCTGGAGCGCTTCGTCGCTAAACGACGTAATGCGGCAATTTCGTTAGGTGGTACCGGCAAATTTCCGAGAGATGCGACGGAGCGCTCTCGTCCTCGAGGGCCATTAAGCGATCTTTCCGTGATAATTACTGTCAACGTCCATTCCGGAAAAACGCGCGACACGCTCGCCGGTCCGTAAGTACGAGGTGAGAAGTCTAAAGGATGAGGAGAGAGAGAGAAGAAAAAAAGAGCGAAGAAAAAGGGTTTCCAGTCTGAAGGGCGAGAGACAACGTATACATATACACATCCGGCGAGGGTTGACATCGACGTTTCCGGATTATTTCCTCAAATTACGGAATTTTCCGGATCGCTTTTTCCTTTAATCGATTTATCTTGGAATATCTTGTCGATTTTTTCTTTTCGATTAAAGTGGATACTTCGTGTTACTCGTTACTTGTGTGCGGAATGACGCTTTGCAGATAAGTGATAACCGTGTTACGCGTCATTCTTAAATGTACCTAATGACTTTGATGACTTAACAAAAGAAAGGAGTGCTGATATGTGCCCATAATTATGAAAGTGGTCTAAGTCATATATTTTTTGTTTCGAAATTACATTGAATTAATTTCGTTTGAAATAATATGGCGTGAAATAACTGATAAACTCATTTTTTTTTTTTTAATTTTGACTTAGACCACTTTCATAATTATGGGCACATATATCTGTTCGGTGGTGAAAGAGAAACATCGCTGCTCGGATTTTACCCTGGAATTAAGAGTGAAAGGAATTCGATCCGGGTGTAATCGAGCTCCAATCGCATACTTTATTCCTGCCATTAGCTCGTATTTATCTACACGTTAATGCCAATGTTTTACACCGGTTAAACTACCTTGCACAATGCACTCGAGCCTGAATCGGATGGAGACACGAGCCGATGTAATGGAAATTCTCTGGCATTCATTTTGACATTAAGTATGTACACTGTAAGCTCTCGGTGCCCTTCGGACGCAATTCACTCTCACTTACGGTATGCTATTCAATAACGGTAATCACTATACGCGGCATGCACTTAAGTTAAATAACCTTTAAAGCTCCGCCTTACCTTTCCCGGCCAGGTTTACTTAATTTGATATAATATATTTCACGGTAACAACTTTTACGTATAATCAACTTAACTATCTTGTTCATCGAATTACCGTCCTTATCCTACCAAGAGCAAACCCCTTCTAAACGATAAACTTTCATCTTTGTCAAAATCTATTTTATAAATAAATACGGTTCCTTAAAAAAAATCGTTCGACTTATTGTACTTGATTGAATTCAGAAAATGTTGGTTATTCTATTAATTTTCGGTCGACTGAACCGAATTTTACTTTCCTTTACCAATTACGTCTGCTTCAATCAATTAATATGGTTCGATTGAATCACTTTGTTAATTAAAAAAAAATATATATATATTTCAGCCAATAAACCGAATAATTTGGTCAAATGTCTGGAATTACTTTAATATTTCCCGTGATCAATGTAACCAATCAAAAGTTATTAACCGATGAGTTTTTTTCATATATCAACATAAATTATAATACATAGTATTTTTTAAAAAATTGTAATGTACCCCCGAGGTGTTAGTACGGTACGCCATAATATTTTTCTATCATTATTATTTATTTATCCTTCTCGGGGGATAACATTAGAAAATTCCCGGCAGCTCTAGCAAAGCCATTGAGGGATGAAAATTGTTTTCTAAGGGCTCCTCGGTGGCGGTAAATCAATTTCCGGGAGCGTATACAGACCATTCAGGGAAGGTGAGTGTGTGCAAACGGGGAATAATCCAAACCTATTTCTCAATAGGAATATTGGAGTAAATCTCGGGGCGTGCATTATCGATCGAGAGATCCGACGTTAATGTATCGCACCCGGGAGAGGCGTGTGTACACGCGAGGTGTGCAGACGCGTGTTTGCCTTCGAAGATAGGAGCGGAGCTCGCACGTGCGCCGGATATAATTTAAGGCGAGTACACAGCTGCCGAGGACGAAGCACTCGCATTTAGTAATCTCGCGAGATTAAAACTAACGCCATGGAGTCGGATGGGATCGCGGGAAATGAGAATTCTAAACGTCTCGATCTGGACTTCCTGCACGTCGACGCTTCGACGTCGAAGATGTCGATTACCGAAGTGCCGGCTTCTCTTTTTTTTCCCTCATAATAACGCAAAAATAAATCAAAGGTTACATTGTCTTCGCCGGTACGCGTGCAAACGGCCTAGTGCTTTAATTTAATTTAAATACTTAGATTCGATCTCTAGATCTAAGTTCGAGTCCCGGATTTCCAGTATGATGGAGACGCAGTTATCGAGTCTATTAAATCCTTCTTTGGGACAAGAATATTAATAATTTCCGAGCGTACTCAAGATCCACCCGAAGTTCCTTCACTGTCATGGCGGCCCGTCAGTGGCGCCACCTGGGCGGACCCACGGCCACCGCGAACTACAAACAGATTCCGTAAATCCTCGGAAGACTTACCACGAGGCGATTTAATTCCCTAAATCTCAAGCGAGGCTTACCATGAGCCGATTTAATCGACGAACCGGTTTCCCATTACCACCAGTCGGTAAGCAGAACCTGCAGGAGCGTCCATGCCGAAGAAAGTGCGGTCCGCGATCGCAAGGAGGAGGACCACGCGAGGAGGGAGCCGGCCCGCGTCCAGAGAGAGACCGAGCGCCCCTGCGGGCCACGGGAGCGAGAGAGACGGCCGGCCGCGAAGACGTAAGGGGCACCGTCACGAATTCCGTACAGGGTCAAACCAGATTCCAGGTTAATCGTGTCGGTTTCGGTCGGGGAACGTCAACGTCGATCTGGCCGCGGCTCGTGCGCGCGTTAGGAGCTCGATAACGAGGAGAAGTCCCGCCCGGTCGGCACCCCCGCGGTCCAGGAACCCGTCCGGACCGCAGAGCCGGACTTCGCGGTCTACGGGAATCGCATTAACTCCGCTCATCTCGCGCAGTGCCGTTATCCCCGCGTCCTTCTCCCTCGAGGAGGTGTCGCCGGACGACTTCCGGTCCGCCGCGGAATGAGATCGGCCGCGGATTGGCCCGGGAGCGCGGCCTGATCGGGTCGCGACCGGTCGAGATGGCGCACCGCGCGCCGCCGCTTTGATCGCTCGCCAGTCGCGCCGAGGATCCGGCAACGTCGGACCCGGGTCGCGTCTCGCGAGTGGCCTCGATCTCCCGATAGCCAGGTACTTGGATCCGCGCAGAGTTCCAGGCCTTTAACCAGAGGGAGCGAGCTGGCCCACGGTGAGTGACCCAACGCGCGCCCAAACTCCGCCGGAGTAAACACGGCCTCCGATCGACCTCCAGCGGTTAATAACTATCAACCGAGATTCCAAACTACGTCTCTACCCTCGCGTTACCATTCCATTGTTTCGAACACCGGTATTTACATAAGGAAATCAGGAATTTCAATCCTCCAATTCACAGGGATATCTGTTGGAAGTTAGGTGGAAATGAAGGAAATGTTGCCACTTCGGACCCAACTTCTCATCTATCCACAGTTATTTATCATATATCGAAGGCAATCGTTTTCAGTCATTTCAGAGCGAATAGCTCCTCGCTTTGGACACGGTCATTGATTTCTGTATTTTTTGGTGAGGATGATTAGGAGCGTTTACTATGTAGAGTATTAATTGTGGGAAATGATTTAAAATTAGTATCGACAAATTTAACTCCTCTTCGAGTACTCTTATACGTAGATTAATGTATTTATAAAATACGTAGATATTCACCATTAGCAAGGGGAGGCATGAAAATCGGTTTAATTTCCCGCGGGATATATTTAATCGGCAAGTCGCTGATTTAAATAGCAAACGAGCCGTCTGTTCCGACCGCGACGTTTCGGCCGCATGTGCGGGGGCACCGCATGGTCTCGTCCGGCCGGGGATTTCGCACCTTCGGAAAAACAATCGAGTCCGGCAAATGGATTTGCGAAAGGGGGCGAAGGTAAAAAGAGGAGGCGCACGCAAAACCCGAGCAATTAAAGGGGAATCAGCCGGTGGGGCCCGCAAATGAAATATTAATCGCGCAATTAGCGCCGATTGTATTTTGATCGGTTTTGTTTTTCCGAGGCGGAACGGGGCCGGAACGGTCCGGAGGGAATCCGGAGAGGAACCTGCCACCGTCGCGGACATTGTCATCGGTCACGGATTACGTCGGGGAAGCCATTAATTTCGGATTATCGCAAATTGCGCGGAATCCTGAGCTCCGGTTCCCGGTTCCCGGTTTCCCGAACCGGACGCGCCCTTCCGGTCGCCGGATCGCCGGGAAAGTATTCGCGGTTCGCCCGGACGGATGCGAGATCGCTCGGCGGAGGTCGTTAAATTATGTTTAAACAATGGCCGCGGCTTTCATTTCGCCTATCGTCGTCGTAGGGTCAATACGGGTGTACCCAGCGCAATGCTCGTAATTCACGGGGGCCGTACGTACGCAATTTCCCCGGCTGCCGGTGATACTCGTTGATTAAATCGATGGGAAAATTTGCGGCAAGTCCGCAGCGGAAGCTCCGCGACCGGCCGAACGTTCGAACTCTCTGGATTATGTTTGAACAATGTATTGGACGTTTTGTTTCGAGAAGTACCTCACATGGGTCAAGGCGAATTGGGGAGGATTAATAGACTTTATTAATAAATCGATAAACAGATACGGCAAGGGTAACAAATATTTTATTTCTTACCCTTCAAAGCTTCGGAACCATGTAAGAAATTATGAAGAATTCCCAGGAGGTCGAAAGCATAATTGGGGTATTTTACAAAAATTGATAATTTCAATTTTCCTCAACCCCGGGGGTGATAAGAATTCATAGGGTGCATCCTGGGCATGTCGAGGGCATCGCGGAATCCCAGATATGATCGGCACTCGATTATTAAATCCCTCGGATAATTGCTAAATGAATAACTTGTGTGCTTCCGTTCTGAGGGTAATCCTGGATAAGTCAGGGTGATATTAATGGTAATAAAATAGCATAGGTGAATAATTAATCCTTATGATTTACGGTGGATTCATAATGCGAGCCTTTGGTTTAGAACTGATTTAGAACTTCTCTTACACATACGCATATGCGTAACTGCTTGTATAGTCATGAATTTCTCGTCGACCTTTCAATTGGAACTTGATTTAGAAGTTTTGTACATTTCTACGAGAAGGAATAATCAGGGGAAATGTTTCTTCAGGTGCATCGAGGAAGATGGGTACCCGGGCAGTGGCCGTAGGAGCATCCACTGGAGCTGCAGGTGTATCAGGTGAAGCAGGCCTAGCAGGTGTACCGAGGCTTCTGGAGGACTTGGCAAGACTATCCGAGGACAAGGACACCGCTGACATAGTCTTTCTCCTTGGAAGGGACGAGACTCCTGTATACGCTCACAGAATCATTCTCCAGGCGAGGCAAGAAATTCCCAAACTTATGGAATATTTCCATCGCATATGCATTTTAAAATGTCGCCTTAAGTTAGACATTAAAAGGTCCAAACGCAATGTACAATTTCAGCCCAGGAAGCGAGGAAATCGAACGATAGGTCCTCGTAAGATCGATTCTCGTAGGCCTCCGGACGTTAATCAGATATCACGCTGAGTGAAGTTATCACCGAGGCGTCTTGGGACGGGATTAATTGTCAATCGTAATTTTTATTAAAATGTGCGGTTTGCGGGGGTGGTGTCGAGTGAAATTTCCCCGGGGGTTCGGGGCGCTCCGAGACCGGGACAGAGGGAGAAAGGGAGAGACAGGTCGAGAGAAAGCCCGGTAGAAAGAGAGAGGGAAGTCGAGGGTGCACCGCTGATGCGAGGATGATGCAGCCTGGATATTCCAGGGTGAGGGCGGGCATGGCGAACGCATTTCCCGGTGCACTTGCAGGAAATAAAACGATGCGAACCGCGACAATGAGAGGCGACGCTTCCGGAAAATAGAAAATTAATATTGCAACGGGATATTGACGCGACGCGCCCGGGTCGGGGACAATCGAGGCCCTCCGTCGCGATTCCGCCGACCGATTCCGTCGACCTGCCGCGAGGAAACCGGATATCCTGGCCGATCCTTTCCGCGGAAGCAATCCGCAAGGCGATATCGCCGCCACCCCCGGCGAAAGGGGATATCCTCCCGATGGAATCCTCTCTAGGATCGGGTGTCCCGGACTGGACCAGGTTGAGGGGATGGGAAAACTAGGAAATCGGCACACCTCGGGAAAGCTCTCCGCCGAGAGAACTTTCCAGCGTCCCGGTTCGACGGAAATTGACCGGTCACTTTCGCCCTCGCCCGTGGAGATTAATCTCTGGTTAAATATTGATGCATCGTCGCGCTATCAGGAGTTAACCCGACGTTAAAGTGGCATGAAGTGTTTATAAACAAATTACAACAATGAAGTCCACGGATCGTTACGTTAAAATCCAGCCGTTACCTTTGTATAATCCAGTTTAGTCGTTGATTTTCACATTAAACCCCTAAAATCGGTATTAGAAAATCCTCCGACGTTGGTTAATTTTATACGTTCCCGAGGATCGCGGATGATCTATTTCCCGCGGTCGGGTTTTAACTCGCAATCTTACCAGCCAATTTATCCCGGTGGTGAAAATTGCTTCGTAATTGAGTGTAATGCCATGGTCCCGGGTAAATTCTCGGTGAGATTTTCTACCGGTCTCCTCGGCGGCCGAACGCGGATCCCTGAGGTTGAAGCCGGTTAAAAGGGAGGAGAGAAAGGTATAGCACGGTTTCCGGTATTATAAGGGAAGCAGTAGTTTCCTTTGGAGGTGACGTTTCGTTGTGAGGGCTCGCAATTTAAAGAGGTTGGCCAGTACTAACGGGGTCGCCTTTTGAAATTACAAGTCGGAGGGAAAAAGCCCGGTCGATATTCTTTTCCTTTCCTTGGCGCTCGGGCCGGGGGTTGCTTCCCCCGTGACAGGTTTTTAATTAAGGCCCGATTCACGGGGAAACCCCGGGAATGGGATAGATCGCGCGTTCCAATTAGTTCGACAATAACTCGTCGGACGGCCCCTTTCCCTCCCTCTCTGGACCCCGCCAGGGAAAGACTTTCTGCGTGAGAAATCTCAAGAATGGCTCCCTAGGAGGGACTCGCGAAACGGCAGGCGCTAATTGTAAAGTCAATTATGAGATCTCTCGTTTAATATCCGCGATTCCTATTCATAGCCTCCTCGCCGACCGGAGGCCCCCAGGTCGGGGACAAGAAAGGGCTTTTATCATTCCTCGTGACACCGAAGAATGACGGAAAATGCGTTCGCGATACCTCGAACACTTGAGGGCTCCGATTTAGCCCTCGGGGTTGTCGGCCGGCACAATGGCGCCTTCGTTTGTCGGGATCTTGCACACCGGTCCCTGGACCATGCCCGAGTACCGAGAGGGGTGCACCAGGTGCACAGGTGCACGAGTGCGCCTTGAACCCCGGCCAATTCTTACGCGGTTATTTCCAAACGACGGATTTCCCTCCTACGCGTACATTAATATCCCGGAAAGTCACCCTTGACTTATTTCCGCCACTTTGAGGATATTATTTTAATCTCTGGGAATTAATTCGTTAAATGACTAATAATGATTTTTAATTTATCGTTGGAACTTCCCTCTTCGCACGTGCGTGGCGATTTTTTAATCAGGGGGTTGGCACCGTTGATAAGATTTTATCCTTAGAAGGAGTGGACGCTTCGGTGGGGATTCCTTGCGGATTCGCCGACATGTTGGATAGGTCCGGGGTCGGCCATCCCGGGTCACGTAAGTGGTATCGTTGATGTCCTTACGCTCCTTGGAATGCAGGTGGCGAGTCCTAGGAGGGAGACAATGCACCTTGGATTCCTCCCCGAGAAGGGGAGCGGAACACGTCGTGGGACATCGTCCTCTGCGCCTCCACGGCTGGCCCTTCCTCCTTGCCATTCGATCTGCAAAGTGCTGCGGAAGGGTCTCATTCGCCGTCAGATCCAATCCCCGGAAGTTCCACGGGAAATCCAGGAAAAAGCAGAAGCGATTGATCAACAATGCCCTCTGGTGCGCGGCACGGGCTGCATTCCAATTCCAGTTTCCAGCTCGTGCCTCCGAGGAGAGTCCTTTTCTCTCCGAGACAATACATTTACGAGGCGGGATCTTCGATAGCCTCCCCTGGCACGGTCCAGGATCGCCATCAACGGATGAAGTCTTCGGTCCGATGCGATCTCCTTCCCCAAGATGACTCGTTATCATCGAGGTCGGAAAAAACCACCCTACGAAACTGCCACGAGCGTCGTCAATCATGATTCAGACTGTGGCGCATGTCTCTTGACTTATCCAAATCATCATTCTCCGCGTAGGGAGATGTAAACGTCGGTAACGTGGCGCATTGTCTTAGACGGTACTTTGGTTAGAGGAACTTGGTTTTACGTTTCTCTGGGGGGCTTTCTTTCGCTTTGACGAGTCGTAGGATACATTGGATGCATTCAGAGGAGACAACTGTTGAATTATCGGTTAGCGCTCATCTGCTGGATGGGTACGTTTACTCAACATGTTTACTGATCAGACCATCCTGATCGGCATTTTCAGCAGAAATCGCAACATCTTCCCAACTCATCGGTAACCGCTTTTCCCTCTGAATGCACCCATTGATCGACTCGGTACATGAGCGTCCCGATCCGAAGGACGAGCGATCGTGAAAGCGGCTCGCCACTTGACACAAGGGTGGTTTTAGATCCGACGGCTTCAGATCGAGCCCAGACCAACCCCAGTGGTTGACGTATGACAGGTCGACCGGAGGTGGCGGTTCGTCGGTGGCGCCGGAAGTGGAGCGCGGTTTTTTTCACGGAGATCGGCCAGGGGTTGCTATAATCGCGTGCTTGGTCGTTAGCTGCGGAGCCCGCGGCGACATTCAACCCTTGCCGCCCGAAACCGCTCCCTATCCTCCCCCTTAACTGCGGCTCCTCCCGCAACCCCTTCGCGTCACCTCCGGCACCTCCGCCACCTCCAGCTCGACCTACCCCTCGAGCCCGGGCTATTCTTCCCAGCCGCCAAGCCGCCGATTTTTGGTTTTCTTTGATTCCGTTCCTGCCGTTTCCCCTCTCCCGGGTGATTAGAGAAAAGCCTTTTTACACTTGGCCGCCCCAGTCATCGCGTCAGTTTCCGCGCGTAAATAATCCCTCCCGGCCCCTTTTCTAGCCTTAGAGGTTTTCCCACCATAATCGGCCCTCGCGGAAGACAACTCGGGGGATCATCACCGCAGAGATTTTTCCCTAGAAGTTTCACTCCTACTTTCAACCTGCCGATCCTTGGTAATACCTCTTTTCGTTCCGTTTAACTCTTCGTGTCCTATTTCAAACCTTCCACTTCACAAGAATCAGGCCCTGGCTTGGGATTTGTGGGAGAAGAAATGCCGATTTGTTCCATTGTTAACCCTTTTAGGGCCGAACATAGTCGTTAGCACTTGTGCAACGACGTATCGTTGCTCGGCACCGAAAGGGTTAAGGCTCAAAATAGGACCTCGAGCGTATAGTAGTTACTCCACTGTGTGTTATAAACTCATGTAAGACTTGGAATTTGAGGGTTTTGTGTGATCAGAGGGTTTGAGAGGTGTAAACCGAGATCAGTCTGAGAGATCTCGGGATCTTCGGTGATTGGGGAATCGCGAAGGTTTTCCGGAGAGATAGGGAGAAGGTTTGCTCCGATTTGTTTCATCGGAGGAACTTGTATGTTTGGGATTGGTCAACTCAGGTCGCGCGATGTCCACCAGACATCTTCTCTGTAACGTCTTGGGAGGATATTTCCCCCAGGAAGTGGCGATAACCGCGAAAAAGTGCGGCGTTTATCGCTGGAGCCCGCGTGTCAATCCAAGATGGCGGCGCTCGGCGTCGCTGGTCCTGACGGCGCCCTCAAAGCGGCGTCGTTTGGCGAACGGCCGAATGTCGGAGTTTTAGCGTTTCGTTCTCGCAACCGCGGATTTCCCGCCCCGGTGGGGCCGGGGCGAGCCTTTGCCCTCCTATCGGGGCCCGCCGACGGAATTTCCGCGCGGCGCTCTCGGCGCCGTCAAAGCGCGCGCCTCCATTTGCGTTTGCTCGGGACCAGCGCGCCCTTTGACACATTTCTTTTGATTCGATACGCCGCGCTTTGCGCGCTCACCTACGACTTTCAATAGGTCTTTCGCCTTGCCCCCCGCCGCGGCGCCCCACAATCGGCTCCGGATCCCGCAACGACGCCGACGACGCCGACGATATCGGCGCCGATGGTCGCGCCCGCGATGGCATCGATATAACGGCGACGACGACGTCGCATTTGCCGGAAATGAAACCCAGATGCGATTGCGGAGGTCGGGCCAAATTTATGATTTCCCATAGAACAGAGTTCTGGAACAATACCGCAATTACCCCCTACTTTGTAGTATTTAGTGTAACGAATGTCCTGGAAATTAATATTATTGTTTCCTCAGCAAATTTATGATTTCCCATAGAACAGAGTTCTGTAACAATACCGCCATTACCCCTGCTTCGTAGTATTTAATGTAACGAATGTCCAGGAAATTAATAATATTGATAACACCTCACTTACAGTGCTGATTTTATACAGGGGCACGGGTTGGTAATGGTTCGATGTGGATAAATAAATGGCTAAAGGCGTAGGGGATGTTACATAAATTGCGGCTAAATGCAGGTTGAATTGTAGTACCGGGGTGCAATTGTTCTTACGGGAGTCCGAGTACGTACTGTCGGAGACAATGGCCTAGGAAGTAACGCAGGGACTGCAATCGAGTCCTGCGGTTGCGGGAGGGCAACGGTTACGATTATTCTCATGGAAAGAGGGTTACAGTGCCGTTGCGGTTTTAGATATTCTTAGCCTAACGTCAAATGCTAAACGAGGCAGGAAGTGGAGGAAAAACGGCGCAGTGGATGCACTCGTTGCGACATTTATCGCTATTCTCATTGCAAACTCGTGTATAAGGGTAAGCCTTGGATGCAGGGGGTGCGTTTTCAGGGCAATGTAAAGTTTACGGGGGTGCGTTTGCAGGGCGATATAAAGTTTGCGGGGGTTGACGGGGGTTTTTAGACGCACTTGACGCGAAACTCGGTTATCGGATGCGTATTCCACCGATGGATATTCCACGTGGGGGGGTTTGCCATTGTTAAGGTGCATTGTAAAAGTGTCGGGATCGGCGATGGCCACCCCACGTGCCCCGAGTGAGGGTTAATTGAAACGCCTTGTAGCGGCCCGAGGAGCCTTTGAGGGTGGCGCAACCCCTGATGGAGTTTCCGGAACGTTTCCGCGCAGTGCTTGGGATTTTTAAGAGACAAAGATTCCGCGGGGTCGGACTTACATCAGGGGACCTGGAGTCACTTTGCGAATCCTCGTGATCCCGCCTCGGAATTAATACCCCCGAGAAAGAAGCGGCTCGCTGGCAGTTCCTGACGCCTCGCTACTTTTCACGGGGTACACGCAAGAAATATCACTTCCGCTCCGAGATAATGTGCGAGTGCTATTCCTGAGCGTCCTCTCGGTGTCACTGGAAATTGCTGGAAATGGTCCAACAGTTTTGCGCCCACGTTGGGGACATAAGATGATCACCTACCACCATATTCGTATCTTCCTCGCGTTACTTCGCGGGCGAGAAGAGGGACCGTCCGCCATATTGGATCTCTATTTTAACGATATTAGAGGCTGTTAATGTTTAGCCTCGATATGTGGATGTAACTAGATTTATTATGGGACTTCCGAGGCCTTCAACCTTGGCCTTAATTCCCCGTTTCGAGGTAGACGGAAACGGACCTGTGAATATTCAGCATCCCTTGAGTTACTCGTTCCCCGCGTTTCGGCGACGGAAGCTACCGAACGGATTTCTCAAAGGTCGGAATTAATTTCCTGTGGGGCGGAAAGTAAAACCCCGGATTCTGTACAGTAGTTACGTATTCTCTCGCGGCACCGGAGCTCTTCCTGACGAAGTCAATTAAGCTCTTTTGTGAGGAGGAGACCGGCTAGAAGCGGCGGAAGTGCCGGCGTAGGTGGAGGGCGTCTCGAAGTGGTGGGTGTTCGTTATGGGTGTCGTTCGGGGGAAAAAAGGAAGGAGAAAACCACCATCGCGGGAATTTCTAAAGCTTCCACAAATGCACTCTTTCTCGCCCCGCTTGATCGCGATCGAACTCGCCTTCGATCATTATCGGGACGCGTTTCTTTTCTGCGCCGTCGACGTCGAACGATTCTCGAAATCGTCGACCCATATTTCCGCTTGTGCTTAACCGCGAACACTCCCTTTCCTTCGGGTCCTAAAAACCGAAAAACGACCCAAAACCTGAGAAATATCCCTTTTTTCTCCTTGACTATACCAAAGGCCGCGAAAAAGTTCGCGCCGAAATGGGCAGGGGTGGTTTTTCAATTTTCTTCCTCATCCCTAGTGCAGAAAATATTTCTCCTATATTTTCTATATATTTAACGAATATCCTACATTTTGTAAATATTTACCAGACATTTGAAATATTCGCAAAACGTTTACTTTAGAATATTATCCCTATAATACTTATATAATATTACCTCCATGTGTTTTCATAATATTTTTTTACTAGATATACAATACATTTCGTATCATTTTACTACAAGTATTTTATTTTTTAATATCTGCCGAATACATTATAAACGTTTGAAAAATATTTAAATTTGTCGCTTGAGATATTTTCGTAATTAAAAATCGACGTGATCTTTTAATCGCAGTTTTATTCTGCATTTCAGATGCAAAAACTTCACCGCTGCCAAAAGGATCGGCACTGCCGGGAATCCTACGCCAATCAGAATGCCGCACGCACATCCGGAAACTTTTCGGCAATTCGTCCATTATGTCTACACTGGGAAGGTGAAGATTAAAATATAAGTTTGTCGCTGGAATATGTTAATCAAAACACAACGTAATTGTTCTTTAATTCGGGTAATGGGAGTCGTAATGGAAGCTTTGTCTTCTTTCGTTGCATTATTGACTCTCTTGGAAAACTAACTTGCGACCGGCATTATCCCTTTAATGGCTCTAGTTTGGGACGGAAGTAGAGAAATAATTCATAATTTCCAGGTTATGCTTCAAGACAGTGGGATCTTCGAGATGCTGGGTCTTGCTCAAGAACTTGGAGTCGAAGAACTCTGGAGAAGCTGCGAGGAACACGTCTCGGCTACCCTCAGTCCTGGGAATGCCTGTGCCCTTCTCACAGCTGCTCTGGATGCTCAAGAACGTGTACCTGGTAAGTTTAATATTAATATTAATATCGTTGGTGAAATTAAAGTTTCACCGAAATAGGATGAAATAAAGAAGGTAAGGCAAGTCACAGAGTACGGAGCTGGGGGATAAGATCCTGACGAGTCCTGGTAATTTTTAGTACTTCGGACAGTTCTTAGGACTTTAAATCGGATTCCCTTCAGCCTATGCATTAAATAATAACATTTTAATATTCATAAGACGTGGGATTGAATTGGGATATTTAAGGCGAGAGCAGTATTCCTCTGGAAACAAATACATGAGTTAATGGAGGAATATTAATTATTGCCCGCGGTTTATTAAGGACGAAAAATTCCTTTCAAAATGTCCGAACGCCCTGAAATTCGGTTATAGGGAAAAGCCATTAGGCGGTTTTCTTCTTTCCGAGGGCACGCTGTCGGTGGTTAAGGAAGCTTTTAGTGTAATTTAACCTTCGCTTCGATCACACCTTTCTAGTCCCATTTCCCTCAGCTTCGCGGTAGATGAAAAGAAATATTTCTTCTGGAAACGGATACGTCTTCGTTCATAAGATGGATTTCTTTTACGGCGTCAAAATGGCGGAAGTATGCAGAGGAGAGGGAAAATGTACGAATCGGTAATTTGGCTGATTAAATTCTTGAATAAATTTCTCTATGATATATACGACTTTGGGAATGTCGACAGAGTTTAAACACCGTGTTTAATGTTTAGGATTATTTTTAAAGAAATTGTTTTTAACGCGCACTTGAAAGACAGTAAGCTTTGGGCAGTATGCAGATTTTGTTCGGGCTTCGTTGACGTCAGGCAGGGAAATATGGGGACAACGGTGAACATGACCCGTAAAAAAGTGACATTTTCAAACCACCATCAATCTTCATTATTTTAATTTCGGAGTGATAAGCCCTACCGAGAAACGTTAGGGTCAAGCAGAGGGGAGATTCTATCCGGCGACATTAACGATGCACTTTCAACGTGCATACAGTCTATATAATATTGAAGTCATTTTACGAAAGACTACACTCCTTATTTATTGATACCCTTTCAGCGATTATTATTAAATGAAATACCGGTAATTCATACTTCGACGGAAGGAGAATTTTCAATACTGCCCAGGTAATGCTTTTCAATAGATAAATCAAAGAATGAATTTAGTACGCTATTCGTAAGTAGATTTTCATTAAATTGACATATGCGTTAATGGAATATTTTTCTAATGAGACAGAAATATAAAATACGGTATATTAATTAGCTGATTGGGGGGAAACAAAAGTTTATGAACCGAAATGAGAAATTCTTTGAATTTGAATCGAGCGCGTCGCGGTCGCGGTCTTAGACCATGGCTAGCCGCTCGCGACCACCACCAGGGGGCAGCACAGGATCGATCGCGCGTCCCTGTCCGTGAGCAATCTCCCAACTCATTCCTGTTCATTCCTGTTTTCGGCGTCCCGCCATCGAAACTTCGTAGAAGCCACGCGGTGACGTGAGATTTTGTTTGCCGACTCAAGAAAAGTTGCAAAAATGTCGTACAAAGGGCCACAGAAGGTGCAGAAGGTGATGGTGCAGCCCATCAACCTTATATTTCGATATCTGCAGAATCGCTCTAAGGTACAAGTTTGGCTTTTCGAAAATGTTAACCTCCGGATCGAGGGGCACATTGTCGGCTTCGACGAGTACATGAATCTTGTACTGGATGATGCGGAGGAGTACTACATGAAGACAGACACGAGGAAGCCACTGGGACGAATTATGCTGAAAGGCGATAATATTACGCTTATACAGAACACGACTCAGGGAGCGAATTAGTCTTTCCACCGTCCATAACCTCTAACACAAATGTTCAGTGTTGTATTTATTCTTGAATACATTTCGCCGAGAATAAATCATCAATTTTACATTCCTGTACTTGGAGAATTGTTAAAAAAGAAAGTGCCTACGTACAGGTGAGGCTGTTTTTGGAATGTTTGTCATCTATGAAAGGTCTTCGGTTTCGGTGAGTGCACTAACGTAACGCTGGACAATGCGAAGAAGTGTTACTCAAAGATTGATACATGGAAGGAACTGGGATGGAATATTTTGAGATACTACTCGAAGTCATAAATCGACGTGCAACTAAAATGGATTGATCGCAAAAGAATGTAATACCAAGTTCATGTAAAATAATTTGCAACTCGGATTGATGAAACGTTCACATTCTAATTGACGTCTTCATCGGTATTGATAATTATGTGTACTTGGTACTGGAAAATGCTACACTCTACAATGAGGAGGATTGACTTTAATATTCAGTTGTACTCCGATTACCTTTTTACGACCATTCAGTATAATTACTCTGCTGAGAAGGATAACGTGAAGATGGATAGAGAGTCTGACGATGTCAAATTCATAGCCTTGAGAGTTTTTGGATATAAAGGTGCCGCTTGAATCTTGTACTTTTAATATGAAATGAATATTTTATTTCATAGAGAAATAAGCGAGGATCAAGGTGCTTATTTTAGTTCATCGAGTCGGAGTGGTCAAATACATAAATTGTGTTGATCTTATCATTAAAAGTTATTTTGCAATAGCCCTTGTATTCTTTGGTAAAATTATAGTTTTAACGAAACAGAAACTCAGGGCATGTATTCTAACGTGTACATTTTGTAATACTCCTTGGTTTTTGTAACGATGGAGAACAAAATATGAATGTAACTTAATTACTTATATAAGACAAATTTGTAAGAAAGTGACCGCGAATTAAAATACATTTCAAATTATTCTTGAATTAAGTTTTTTTTAATCCCTAATTTTGTTGCTTAGTTATATGTAGGATTATGATAACTTTGTCATAAAGTCAAGACTTTACGATGTAATGTAGACATTTTAGGTTCTCTGTTTATATTTACATTAAAATAAAATTCATTATTAAATGAGATGTAAGAATTCATAAAAAGTTTATTTATAGGTGGTAAAGGGGCCTGTTCGTCTTTCATCGAACGTTGCTTCGCATTCATATGTGAAAATGCTGCGGATACTGTAAAGACTACTGCATTTCATAATCTGCCTAAAGAGGCTCTAATAAAACTTATATCTTCGGATTATTTGGCCTTGGAAGAAGAAGATGTCTGGAGAGCCGTCTTAAATTGGGCAAAGTATCAGGTGTTTATTGGAGACGATTATTCTAATAATTAAGACACGAACATATGAAATATTTTCTAGTCTTACATATAATTCAATCCTAGGCTGGAGTGACGCAACCGACTCAGCATTGGACTGAGGAGGAAAGAGCAAGAGTCTGTCAACACCTATCGGGAGTAATAAACTATGTGCGATTGCTGCTAATAGATAGTCAAGTTTTCGCAGAGGAAGTCGAACCAACTGGAGCGGTACCAATAGAGCTATCCTTGGAGAGGTACGAATTTATCAATCCTGATAAATCAGCAAGCACAGAATGTGCAAGGTATGACTTAAACGAGACCATCGTATGTTCTGGAGTCCTTCCACTTTATGCTTTGTTCCAGGTACAGGTTCGCAGCATTACCAAATAAGTATTCAGAGATCTGCTCCGACAAGAGACTGCAGCCTAGAGTGAGTCCCTTACTCTTTCCCGGTTCTCAAATCCTTTTAAGAGATAAAATAGGCTTTCAACGTTTGTTGAATCAATGGTTTGGTGTATCGAAGCAGGTCTGGCGCTTAGTCTATAGGTACGTTGCATTAATCGGGTCCATTTAAGTTCGACCGATGTAATAAATTTATTTATGTTTTAAAATCTCTCTCTTCTGTTCAGGGCATCGAGTCATGGTTACTCGGCATCAGCTTTTCATCGACACTGTGACGGAATTTGCCCAACATACGTGATTGCTTTGGTACGTTAAAATAATTTTATCTATTAGACTTACGTACCATGGTGTCACGTCACTAATGGTAAGAAGAATTCTTTTGTCATTAATATTAAAAACGGTCATTCTGCTATTTTAGGGAGCACGAGGGGAAATATGTGGGGGGTTTAGTGACGCTCCTTGGGGTAAGACAAACGCAAAAGGACATTATATCTCTTCCGAGAAGGCCTATCTCTTCACCCTTACGAACAATCAAGATGTACCACCGACGAAGTATGACATCGTAAAGAAGCCCTTCGCGATTTGTTACCACCCTGAGTAAGAAATCTTTCTTAATGTAATGCACGATTGTTTAAGAAAAATTCATCTTTTCATTTTGCTCCTGCTTTTAGTATAGGGCCGATATTTGGAGCTGGAGCCGATCTGCTGATAGCCAGCAACTGCAACGTCAACATGGACAGCTATAGTAATCTTCCCCATAGCTACGACGGCGAACACGCATCCAATACCGTTCTCATGGGTGACTATCACTTCTCCGTTCTTGACTACGAGGTCTTCACGCCGAATCATTCCGTAGCTAAGTCCAATCATTAATTCCTAAATGACTGTCGACGTCGATCTCGATACGTTCCTTGTAAATAGATTAATATGTTTGGTCGTAAGTCACATGATTTGAGGTGGCATCTAATGGAACCCCGTAAACCCGTGTCATAATTCTCGTATATTGTAAGTGTCGGTAGATTCCCGAGGGACGGTTATCTCGTGGAATTTACTTATAGCATGCTCGGGCGCACCATTTTTCTGGTACAAATTTTTCCATTTAATAAAGTGTTTTGTAAGAGTCTTTTACCCAGGACATGTGGAACATTCTATATACCGTATCGGACACCAAGCTAATACTTAAGTTATAATTTAATTTCGAGAGGAGTTTTATAGTTTCTACGACTTGCGCGCTTTGATTATTACATTATTTATTTATTAAATACGTTCTTCGGCTTCTGTATCGACATTTACATGTTTCGCAACATAAAAGGGTAGACAACGATGCCTGCTTTTATGACGAACGTGGACCGTACCGAAATGTGCGTCAGCCACCAAGTCATACCGATAGGGAGATTTAAGGACGCTAATTAATTGTAGAAAACTTTATAACGCGTCAATTGAATCGCTTTATATGGTTTTATCTTTAGACCGTTTGTATGCGTCTGTTAGATCTACTTGGCATGGGAATAGTACAGGATGATAATCCATTAGCCGTAATCCCAGTTCCTTTTTAGAGGCGTTACAAAGGTACATCTCTACCGTACAATAAAACGATGCTACGGTTTAACATATTAAATTCAGGGAACACCTCTTGCGAGGTCCGTTGGCTCTTCGTGGAGGAAATTGATATCCAATGCCGAATAAATCCTAAGAGGCAGGCAGGCAGTCGCATGGTAATCTCGAAATAACTCCTAAAAGCTACACGGATTGGGTAGAGCCCCCTAGGTCGGCTCGGGATCCCTCTACAGACGATAAATCGGTTTAATTGATAAGTAACAGTCGAGCGCCTATAGTGGGACCACTCGAAAACGCGACCTGGGAATGCGGCCCACTTGTAAACCCGCCGATATAAATTTCCCGCCTGGCACGTAGTAGTATGGCGAGACCCCTCCGAGGGCAGGAAGGGTGCAACGGGCACCAAGAAAAAAAAGGAGAACAACATCCTGGGACTCTTGGTGAGGAATACCGAGGGAATGTAAATGATCTGCTGAGGATATTTTGGGGAAATTGGACCTGGAGGTTTATTGCCATCGTAGCTTGCATAAGCGATTTTCATCCCAGGAACGTCAAGGATGCATCTTGGTAGACTGTGGTGAGTACTCCAATTTCTATTAGTGTTTTATTTTACCGTCACGGCTAACCATTCTCAGAATATTCCTTAAATATTCCTAATGCTCCTGGCGATGGTCTTAATCCGTGTGGAATTTTTTTCTTTTTCAGAATCGATGCCCCGTTCCAGCGGTGCGTGTTCCAGTTTACCCGGGACGGAGACGTAACGATCAAAGGGAAGCATTAAAGTCGGGACGATTCTCGCCGGTCGTCCCGACACGCGAGGATAAACACGTACCCTGTAACGTAACGTCGGGCACGACGCGACCGGTGATTATTCGGTAGTAGGAGCACCAGGGACGCGGTCGTGTTTAATAATGTGAGGTGAACCGTAACTCAGACCCGCGGTAACCCCTTGAACCGTGGTCACATAAACCAGGGATTTATATGCGTGGTACATTGCGAGGCCGGAGGACCGGCCGCGAGGCGACGCGGAGGGCTCCTCCATCGGCTCCGTCCTCTTCGTCCTTTTTCATCATTGGCCCGGCCTCCTCTCCCTATTTTCGGCGAGACCCCGGAATCCTCGGCCAGTCCCTTTACGCCCCCCAGGACCTACCTCCACGTCCAAGGTAATTCAAAGGACTTCCATCCCAGAATGATGTACATTGTACCGCGAAGTGGACCTACGGCGGCCTCTAATTTACCCTCCGCTTTTCATTTCAGAGCTCGACCGAGCCGAGAACGAAGTGAACCTCGGCGGACCTGGTGAATGAGAGCGGAGCGCCTTAGGACAATGGACCTCGTCGGCGCTCCCGTTTCGGCGAGAAATCCCCGACGGTTTTCGGCATCTCCGTGGCGCCGTGCATAATCGATTTCCCGTCTCCGTCTAGGACCCTTTATTCCGCACCGAGCCCTCGGTATTTCACGTACGGCCCGGAATTTATACGCGGCGTTGAATATTCATGCCGGGGCGTTATGAGTTAGTGCCGCCATCTTGGCCCCGAGGTTTATTATATTACCTATTTATGCTCGTAACCTTTCTACCTTCGGGTTCACACGCAACCTCGTATCTTCGCCCCGGCGACGACGTCGATGCTCCCCGGTGCATACCCGAGCCGCGTGCCGATCGCTCGTTAGAATTTCGCATGGCCGGTGGCTTTCATGCCTGATTCCGGAGTCGCTTCACGCTCCTCTCTTCGGGGTGTACTTTCCTCTCTTCTTGGCCCCTGCCGACGTACTCACCTGCGTACTTACCTGCCTCGATATCCCGGTATGCCCTGGGACTTTTCCTCGTGTGCGTACCCGCCGGTATCCCTACCAGCGTCATCGAGCGATCGTCATTCGGCGCGACGTCGCCTTACGTACAAATTATGCTTAACTAATGAGAATCTACAGTCCGATATCCTCATGAATCCCAACGGGGCACGTAGAGCTCGGCGACGTAGAAGAGCACGTCTCCTGCCTCTCTGTGCTTCTCCGACAGCGCCGTGGCACGATAAATCGATTTTTTTTTTGTTGTTTCTTTTTTTTTTTTCTTCCGCTTACCGACGCTACTTTGCATGCCGTATGAGCGAGGATTGCTAACTACCGATGTGTCGGGCTCGTCTTATTTTTCTTCTCCTCGCTTCTTTCGTTGTACCGGAGAGGAAAGGTATGGACGGTGTACGTGAAAAAAGGGGGTATTATATTATGTCGAATTGTACACGCGGTACTCTATACATTTAGTGCGACGCTGTCGATTCTCCTTGTTCCGTTGCAATTATGTACAATTACTTGGGCGATTAAGGTCGGCGTACCTTTCGCGTGATAACGTCCTTTCGGCTATCTACAGCTGTATGGGATGTGAAGCATCGCTAAATTTACAACCGCGGTAAATCCAGCACCAACGACAGTTGAAGGCTTAACTCTAGGTCTCTATACGACGTAATCACAATTGCACTCTGTTGAGGGAGTCTTATCACTTAGACTCTGGATATACGCTTCAGACGGCTCTAGCGCTCGTGCCTTATCGGGAACTCCCTTTTCCCTGTACACCGATCGGCGCGTATTTTAATCCTTGCGGTATTTACAAGTGTACTTCATTTAGGCTTATCTAGTCCGACATGCAGGACGAATCTCGGTCGTCGGGCGTACTGGAAAGTCCTGGGGATCCCCAGATGACAATCGTCACCGTGGCGTCCCCATGGCATCCCCATGAAAGACAGAGTCCGCGTATGTACAGGTGTACTTAACTCTAATTACCGAGAAGTTATCATAAGTACATGTAAACGTTACACCGATAAGGGGTGGTAGTCGTAAGGGTATCGTCGGCCGGATTCGACCCTTTCGGTCGATCCTCTTCTACCTCGGTCTCGAGGCAGAAAAAGGAAGCCGAGGGTCCAGGTTGGCATCTCGTTTACGGACCCGGAGAACCCTGGATACAAACGGCGCGTCCACGTTCTCGTCCCTAAGAGCGAATCTGTGTTCTGCCCGGGACGAGCCCGCGGGCGCGGATAACGCGACGGAAAGGTATTGTCTACCGAGCGACCCTGAAGAGCCGGGTTGAAGTGATCGTCCTAAGTCCGCGGAATTTCTTCCAGGAGCCGCTGTGGGTCGCCGAGGTGGTCCAGGTCGTCTTCGCGATGCCGATATCCGGGATCTTCGGGCTGCTGGACACCTGGGAGTGGAAGGGAAGAGTCCTCGAGGGACAATAAGAGGCAAGCGGGACCCGATGAAGGCGTACATTGGCAGGCGTCGAACACCGTGTAAGATAAAGCCCCTCGAAGCGTCGATACTGTCCGACACGTGTCCCCGGGTTGGTAACACGTCCCCGAACACGCGCCCGCGACCTGCCGACGTGTTTATCGGGCGACAGGTTGGTAAGAGGCGATCGTGCCCGTTAATTAAACCCCAGGAGTCTTCCTCGATTAACCCGCGTCCCGGTGCGGATATCGATGGATAGGTTCGTAGAGATTTGATTAGGACACTTTGGCCACTTTCTTCGGGTCTAATGGACCTAGTTTCGCGTCTTCCTCGAGGATTTTGGGGGTACCAAGTGATAGCCGGTATCGCTAGTCCGATGATATACGCTCCTGATTGATGGGTTTTTGTTATCTAGCTCTTCAGGCTCATGGAAATGGACTCAACGACCTGACGGATGTCTTCGTCTCGCCAGGGGAAAGGATCTTCCTCTGCGCGTTGACTTCGTCGAGTATCCTGTACCAGGGGATCACTAGTCGGTGGCTTATGGAGCGTGGAACACCTTCTTAAGACCTCGTCGTCAGGTCCATGGGCGCTGGTCGCCTCTTCAGGGGTGGGCTGTCCCTCTCGCTGGAGGTCCCCATGTCGACGTCCTCGCTCCCACTGGTCTCGCTCGCAGGGGTCGCACATTCCCTGGGACATCCTGGAGCCTTCATCGACAGGTCCATGGGGTTCTCCTGCGGCGGCGACCTGGGGCTAGCCGGCTCCGGGGTATTCCCCGGCGTGTTCCTTTCGGAGTGCGCCTTGCTCGAGGCTGGGGAATGACTCGGCGGCGTCCTCTGGCGCTTCAGGACGGCGTCGAGGTAGAACCTCTTCGAGTACGTCTCCATGGGATCCGCAAAGACCGCAGGTACGTCGCCGGTGTTCAATTGGTTATGGACGTAGCGGTCGTGGTTGCTGATGTCGTTGTTGTTGTTGTTAATGCTCCCTGTGTTCTCGTTGCAGGGGCCTTTGGCAGTGGGGATGGAGGCAGTGGCAAGGTTCGTGGCGACGGACTCCTCGTTGCCGATTGGCGAGTGTCGCAGGATCCCTGATGGGTGGCTCGGCATCAGGGGATGCGGTGCCCCGGGTGGAGGAGTGTATAGGTGGTACGGAGGGAACATCGCCAGGCTGGGAGGTGGGAGGAACGTCGGCGGGATCAAGGACATGCCTCCGAGGTGGAAGCCAAGGGGAAGACTCATCATCTCCTTGCCCAACGCCGACAAGTCGGCGCTCGCGTGGAGGTGCGGGTGAAGAGGTCTGAACCCCGGGTGGCCCAGGGCTGCTCTCCTTTCGGACACCTCGACGGAGCTGTCGCTGTTGTGTGACTCGGGCGAGCTGATGCTGGGCGACGTGGAGTTCTTGTAGTCGTCCAGGCCCAGCATCAGGACGTCGTCCTTACGCGGGACCTGGTGCATCCCCATGGGGGGGCTCGTCTGGCTACCCTGCTGCTGCATCGGCTGGTGGTGCTGATGGGAACGCTGGTGGTGGTGCAAATGATGGTGGTGCGATGACGGAGGTTGCTGCTGTTGCTGCTGCTGCTGTTGCTGCTGCTGTTGCTGCTGCTGCTGTTGCTCCTGCAGCAGGCAGTGGATCTTGAACCAGTTGGAACGGCGGCCGTATCTCGAGCCCGATTTTGACATCCCGACAAGGAGACATTTTCTTAAGCGGCATGCCTTGCAGGCGGTGCGATTCTTCTTGTTGATCACGCACTTCCCGTCGTTCTTGCACTCGGATATGCTGCTCAGGTTGTTGTAAGACCTCCCGAAGAAAGACTGTAACAGAGAAATGGGGAGACTTCAGTCCTGCGGTCCGAGGTCTGGAGCTAATTCTAATTCTAAGTCGTAGGATCACCTAGGTCCTGTCTTTATAATTAATACACGGACCTTGATGTATGTCGGATACTTCTGAAGCTATCTTTAAAAGATCTAGAATAAGCAGGACCTTGGCTCCAGGTACCGAGATTTTATACCACGCGTGGTGTAACTACTTTGCTTCGGTATTACCCATATGTTACCGTTCCGAATTGCGAAATTCTCGATTATTGTACCGATGTTTAGATGACGGTTAGGAGATAATGCTGCGAGGTAGATACGTGTTCGGTGTACTACATAACCCGCGGTATAAATATTAGGATCCTGTCGTCATAGGCCGAACAATTGGTGAGAAAACTGGAGGCGTCCGGAGTTCTTCGCCGAGAACGGAACACTAAATCGCCACGTAATTTGGTAAATCAGGGCCGCGCTATTGTATTCGGGCCGAGTGACATTACCGTGACCACACTCTCGTTGTTTCATTCATCGAGAGGGTCCCTGCCCCTCTGGCTCCCCTCTGTTCCTTGCCTTCCCAACGACGATGCTCCCCGGAATACGGAGGCGCGTGCGGCCTACTATTCGAGATAATTGCCCAAATGGTGCAACCAAGTGCGATTCCGACACGATTCCGTGACGGAAAGTGATACCGCTCACTTAGACTCGATGACGACAATGGGGACGGATCGACTTCGGACGCCATTGTTTACGGTTTCACTTTTGGGTATATTGGAGCTAAACCGGTGGTATTGTTTAATGAACGTTGTCGTTTATTTATGGGACGGTGGAGTACATTTTACATTTAGTCCGTTTCACATGCGATGACAATGTTAACCGCGGAATCTTTCAGGGAAAAGTGGCGACTTTGAGAGTCCAGGGCGACGTTGATGGGTTCTCGGTCTTCCTCCATTGTCTGACAGAGAGTTAGGACCCTTATAAGGATCGATAGGCGATAGCGAATCGCACGGCTCCGTTCTAGTTGTCGGCTTTACCGCGTACGTAACGCCGCGTAATGTCTGGCCTAAGTCTCTACGTTTGTCCGGCCGTGCAACGCCGGGGCAACGGAGCATGGGCGCTGCAACGACGCCCAGAAGTCCCGATGACACAATCGTGAAAATGCCACCTTCCACGTTGCGACGTCCCCTGGTTACGCAAACCCCCTACCGTAGACCCGCGAGTTCGGCTTGGACGCGCGTGCTCTGAATCCGACCTGGTAGTTAGGAGGAACTAAGTAGGTCCGCGATAGCCCGAGATTGTTCGAGGGCGACGAGGTTGCGATAACGACGAACTGCGAATTCCCTGATACCCCGGTTTCTTTGTACAATTGGAGTTTGCGGCCATTTTTATGGAATTCTTTAGACTACGGGAAGGTATCGCGAGGATAGATGGGGTTGAGGTAGGTCGAAGGCAATGAGTTCGCGATAACGACGAACTGGGAATTTCCTGATACCCTGGTTTCATTGTAACAATTGTTCGGTACAATTGGAGTTTTCGGCCATTTTTATGGAATTTTTTTAGATTATACCGGAAACGTATCGCGAGGATAGATGGGGTTGAGGTAGGTCGAAGGCAATGAGTTCGCGATAACGATGGGATGTGCAACGATAGGAAACACTAGTGCGTTTTTTTAAATATATTTTATATATAGTTATGGGAGTTATGGGACCCGATGTAGTTATGGGAACACGCACAGTCCGCTTTTACACCTGGGTGGACTTCGTGCACCCATAGAGGATGAAACGGTTCTGCTGTAAGTGAGTTTGCAAACAGCCCGGAGATGTACGAATCATTAGTGACGGTCGGTTTGTCCACGGGAACATCTCCTAGAAAATTTATGATGAATCCGAGATTTCTCGTCGCATTAATCGTAGATGCATCGTGCATTCCCTTCGTTACCATTTTTTATTCTCCCGCCGGTATGCAAATTCGTCGCATCGGGGAACCTCGCTCGAGAGCTCGAACCAATTGTTTCTATTTTTTTTTTTTTAAACGGAAAATCCGCGAAAAAATCGGAAGGGGAGAATTTCCTTTTTATTTAACGCAAATTGTGGAAACACCGAGGAACGACATCCGGTATGCACGTGCAAGGTGCATCAGGATATATCCATTAAAAAGACCGTTACGAAGGATGACGTATGGCTCTTCGGCCTTGTCCTTGGGCGGTTTTGCTCGCGCGAATCTCGGCTATTCACGGTGGAAGTCATTCTCGTGCTAGGATCGCGATTATCGTTCGGATTCGCGACAAATGGAGCGGAAGAGGCGTAAAAGCCTCCGAGGTGCTGGAGCGAAAAGGACGCGATACGCTTTCAACGGACATTCTCTTCGGGTTTAACCTGTAGGGTCGAGCCTTGTCTATTTCGTGTCAAAGCTCGACGCAATTTTTATGCAAAATCTTTAAAAGCCAAAAATCCCGCCGTTACGTCAAACGGTATAAATTATTACATTTTTGTTAAATGATCATTATCACTCGATGGGACATGTACCTTCTATTTTAAGAATTGCAGAATAATTTGCGGTTTAATTTTAAAAAATCCCAAGAGACCAATTCGGATTGTTTTGTTAAGTAAAGGACCTCTCGTAGATCTCGTGAGAAGTTTCAGATCATTTACGGTCGATCATTGATACCATATCGATGATCGATGCAGGATGCAATTTTAATGTCAAATCTCTAAAAGCCAAAAATCCTGCCGTTACATCAAACGGTATATACCGTCATTAGAAATTATTACATTTTTATCAAATGCTCTCTATATCCAGGCTCGACGGTATTGATGGGACATATACTTTCTATTTGAAGAATTGCATAAAAATTTGCAGTAAAGCTAAATATCCCCCTTTATATCAAACGGTCATTAGAAATTATTACATTTTTATCAAATAATCCTTATCTCTCCATATCCAGACTCGACGGTATCGATGGGACATATACCTTCTATCTGAAGAATTGCATAAAAATTTGCGGTTTAATTTTGAAAAATCCCAAGGGACCAATTCGGTTTGTTTTGTCAAGTGAAGGGCTTCTCGGGGGTCTCGGATGTTTCGGATCGCTGATACCCGTTATCGGTGATCGAGGTGGGATCGCGGCTCGTGCTCGCGATTTCCCCGGGCCGAGTCGGCGAGCCGTTTCAAAGCGGGCCGGCTTCCGGCGCTTCGCACTTGTCCGCCGCGATTGTTTGTTTCCGCCCTAGTTAACGATTACGTCAGCTCGACATTGTTTCGTTTCGTTATTTTCGTTTTCAGGCCCACCGTAGCATGTCACCTCCCTCCCTGTTCGCGCTCTGCTTGAGCGCGCCCTCGGCGCGACGCGTCGAGCTCTCCGGGCCGGGCCGAGGAACGATCGACGGACCGAAGCCGCGAGGAAAACCGCGGCCCACCTTGCCCAGACCGACGATTTGCGAAACCGATGCGGACCCGATGCGGAGAGCCCGCTTTTGCGAAACCCGGACCTGGGAAAGATCCCCGCCGGAGCGCGACACGAGTCTCCGAGACCCTTAGAGACCTAATTGTCAGTTTTTTCCCCATTTCTCGTGCATTTCATATATTTATTTACATACATTATGGGTTAAGATTGTTAACGAAAAAAATCCACTTATTTTAATTCCGCCAGACGGATCGAATCCAATGATTCTCGCCAATTTCCGAGACCCTTAGAGACCTAATTGTCCGTTTTTTCCCCCATTTCTCGTGCATTTCATATATTTGTTTACATATGTTAAGGGTTAAGATTGTTAAAGAAAAAAAAACTCTTATTTTAGTTCTGTCAGACGGATCGAATCCGATGATTCTTGCCAATTTTTGGTAAAATTCTTGACAATGATCCGCGACGATATTTGGAAACAGTTTTTCCTTCATTTTTTCTTTTCTTTTTTTTAAGTATAATCTGTAAAGAATCGTCATTTTATTCCCCGAAAAACAACTTTTGCGATCCATTTTTCTGTATGATTCTTTTATTAGTTTTTATTTTTGTTTCTATTAGTTATAGTTTTGTATCAGGCTAGGTCATGGTTTGAATACTCTTCCTAGCCATGTTGCGATATGACTGTTGGCAGTTTATGTACTTGGTCAGCCAAAAAATTAATCGACACCGATAATTGCGCCGATACTTTGAGAAATCTATTCCACGACGTGAAGTTCACGGTTTTGCGAGGAGCCGAACGCTTTGGCTTTAAATGGAGCTCGAGGGATTGCGAAAACGTGCTACGCGAGGCCGGAAAATTTTCTGGGGATTGAGACACTCGACCCTGGGACGAATTACGGATGGAAATGAAATCTATGACCGTCTGTGCGAGATTTCTAATCTTAACGTTCGATCCGTACTCGAGTGACGTTAATAATCGTTATCGTTTCAACTGGGACACTTTTCCTGCCGTTTTCTTCCGCAATTTCGCAGCTTGCCTCTCGAGTTCATACGATCAACTTTTACACATGCAAAATTAACAATTTCATATAAGAGTTTCAAATGTCGTCTAATGATGGGGCTTCGCAATAGTGCAAAATTTTTTCATGTTAATCTTTTCATATGTGAAGAAAATCCGTATGAACTAGAGAGCTCTGAGATCCGATTTTTGAGTTCATACGATCAACTTTTACATACGCGAAATTAACAATTTCATATAAGAGTTTCAAATGTCCAATGAAGGGGCTTCGCAAAGATGCAAAATTTGTTCACGCGAAAAAGGATCCGTATGATCTCGAAAATAGGAGACTAGGACCGATTGAGACGAATCCGGTAATCGAACGGCGATTAAGAAAACCCTATTGGGAAAAGTGTAGGAAACGGTCGCCGAGTTCCCGTTGAAAATTCAGTGGTTTAATCGGCTTTCGCGATTGACGACCGCACACGAAGATATTCCCACTTTCTACCGTCCCGGAGCTCGCCATGGGCCAATTGTCGTTCCTTACTTCGGTAATAAGAACCAGGTCCGCGAAAAGATTCGCGATGGACTGCGACATCCGTCCCGGACGGAACTCGCTATCGCTGAAAGGGGGATCTTTTTCTACCGCGGCGGAAAGTCCGCAATGCTTTTGGGGAAAGGGAATGAATTTCGAAACTATCCACTGACAATTGATTTCTAGGGTTTCGGGCTTGATTAATGATTGCGCGACATCGGGGCTGTTCCATTTTGCTACTTTCGTTTCCACCTCTTCGCGAGCCAGCCGATCGGCAGTGTCATCCTGCAATATTCCCGGCATTAAGTAATATTCATTTCTCCGGGATCGATTAATTAGGGTCCAATCAGCGATCTAGGGAGATCGATCCGTCCGGACAAATCGACGTCTCATCGGGTCGGTCGATCATTTCCGATCCTTCCTCTATCGGCGGCACTTTCCCTTCGTTCCAATGTCCCTTTAGAAATTTCCTTCGATTTTTCGCGGAGTCGGGAAACTCCCGCTCATTTCCTTACCACGCATCGAGCTCTCCGACCCGCGGGTCTAGGCGGTAACATTTAACCTCGATCGTCGGCGGGTCGTGAAAGCGAGTGCCCGAGGCTTTGTGAAATCGTCCTGGGAGGAAGGAAAAAGTCCCAATGTGTCGGGAAATTTGTGGACCGGTGGGCGAGGAATAATCCACGGGGATCGGGGGTCGTAAAGAGGCTGGGAAAAGAAATCTACGTACAGGGAAAAATTAACGAGGCAGTCATTGCGCGCGGCGTTAGATCGACTACTTGAAAATCCGGATAAAAAAAATTGAAAATCGATCTTTCGGTTATCAATATGGATACTGGGAATAATCCACGGGGATCGGGGGTCGTAAAGAGGCTGGGAAAACAAATCTACGTACAGGGAAAAATTAACGAGGCAGTCATTGCGCGCGACGTTAGATCGACTCCTTGAAAATCCGGATAAAAAAAATTGAAAATCGATCTTTCGGTTATCAATATGGATACTGGGAGCGATCTCGATGCGATTCGCGTCCAAATCTCGTTAGAGGAGGGAACTTAGCGATAAAGATACGCATCGCAGGGGGTCCATTCAGGGGCAATGCCTATCACATCCATCACGCTCGCACCGATAGCCATCTAAGACGCCTAATGTACACGGAACTTATCTCTGTCGATAATGTCTCTTTCGGTGGACTTACCTTACAACCTTCGCAGGTGAAGGCGCCGAAATGGAAACCGGCCGCAGGCTCGCCGCACACTTTGCACTGCTGATTCATCTGCGAACAGAAATTCCGAGGGAAACGTGAGCTGGTCACGGCCGAGAAGTCGCGGAAATACCGCGGAAATATCCCCGGGTGCCGTTAATCGGGAGAGACAGTTGCGGAAAGGGCGGGAAAAAAGGACGCCGCGCGGAGAAATTGTAGCGAATCCGGGAAAAAAGGGAGGGCTCATCCCCTGGACCGCAAAGCCATCCTCGGACCCGGAAAATGTGGTTTCAGAGGGATACTTGCGCAACTTCGGTCCTCGTTTCACTGTTAAATAAGACCTGCCACGCAATAGTTATCCGCTGCACCTGTTCTGAATTTTTTGGACCACCGAGAAAAATATAATAAAAAAATATCTGCGATTTTTTATTCCGCTCCCGAGTCGAAATGCTTATTCCATTTACAAGCTCTACTTATACTTGCGTACGTCTTGAAACAGTGTAAGAAAGGGTACTTTTCAATCGAGGTCCCACTTTGGACCTTGAGTGGCAGGTATTTAATTTTTTTTTTGTTTTCCCTTTTAATTCCAGGCTTATGCAGAATTTAATTTCCGTCGACGTCGATGATAGGGTCGGATTAGAATTTATTTATTATTTTTGCACGGACTCGGAGCGGGGATAAAAAATCAATCCGGGCTGGCGGTCTTCTGAGCGCGCGGTGTTATTCAAGAGCAATTTTGCGGAATTAATCAAAGTCACTTTTGGTATTGTGGAACGGCAATCTCGGTATTGCGTAGCATGCGAGAGGAAATCGTAAGGAGCAAAGGAAGCGACTGATTATTCTCCTCGAAACGTATTATTTCCGCCGACCCAGAAAACGCCGTGGCGGATTGTAGTACTTGCGGCAGGGCTGTATTTTGAATAAACTCCGTGGCGTAATCGGTATCGTGCACTTGTTACGACCCGCGGCACTCGGGAAAAGGTTTCATTAGGCATTACGCCGGTTGTGTCATGCGGTATTGCCGATGATGGACGTGCGTAAAACTCACGTCAAACGGGAAAGGATCGCTCGTCGAAACGCATTACCAACCCCTCCTGCAATTACTATTTCGCCAGTTCTTCCCGGACCCTCTTTACAAATAATTACCCGCGGCGGCGAGAAAGAGAAATCCAGAAAATTAATCGTCGATTAATTACCCGCGAGGGTGTTTAACTCCACTTTGAATAATTTCCCTGATTAACTTCCGCCGCTAAGTTAAGATCGAAACGGGGCTGCGTGTCGCGAAAATTGTATCGAAACGTGAAAATAGGTGTACCAACCCCTCGTGCAATTACTGTTTCGCCAATTCTTCCCGGACCCTCTTTACAAATAATTACCCGCGGCGGCGAGAAAGAGAAATTCAGAAAATTAATCGTCGATTAATTACCCGCGAGGGTGTTTAACTCCACTTTGAATAATTTCCCTGATTAACTTCCGCCGCTAAGTTAAGATCGAAACGGGGCTGCGTGTCGCGAAAATTGTATCGAAACGTGAAAATAGGTGGAAAAGGAGTAATTGCGGAGGAATCGCGACGGGCGTCGAAGGGGGTTGTTCATCCCCATAACGTATCATTTTCCCCGCCACCCGGAAAAGGGGTTCCCCGGGTATCTATAGTATTTTCCGTAACGCCATATCGAACCGTAGAATAAATCCCACCGTTCTAATCGTTATCGCGCACTTGCTCCGATCGGTCGGGGTTGAGAAAGAGAAGAGGAGGCCGCGCCGCTAGTTGCGCAATTCGGCATCGCGAGTCGGTGGATCGTGGCGATGCGGTGCGTTTTACGGCCACCCAGCGGAAAATCCTTGCGTGAGTGTGTATCCTTGGTACCAAGGTACAAATAAGGCAAATTCGGCCATTATCGCGGCCCGCAAGTCGCGAAGAGCCCTCGGAGTTCGCATCCTCTGCCGCGGAAAACCCGCCACGGCGAAGTTACGCGGAAAACGCGTCCCCAGCGACGTTCCTCCGGGATCTTTGAGATCCTGGCTTTCTTTTAGTTCCTATGTGAAGATGCGATCCGACCCTTCGGTTTCCTTCAAATCGACGGAATTGAAGATAGGATCGGCGCGAGGCGACGCTGTCCTATCCTCGGGACAGCGACATTTCTAACGCGGCATTAATCTTCGAGGAGAGCCTTCCTCTCTTCGAGTACTCATTACTTATGCGCAGATCGGTCAAGTATCCGTCTCCGGCATTTGCCTATACCAGTGTCAGACCATTCGGGTGTCGCAAGTCGCTCGTCGTTGTCGTCTATAAGTTTCGCCGGCGTCGGCTCGAACGACGCTCCCGCTGACTCGGGACTTTCGATCCCCTCGTAAATTAACATTTTCGACTTACTACGGCTCCGCGTAATTAACACTGTATTAATCTCCCGTAAGATCCTCCCGTCCTTCGGGGGAACACGCTCGCCGGCGAGAAAACCCGGATTGACCTTAAAGGATTACAAGCCGCGGAATCGACGCCGATCGCCGCGGGATCGCGCAACCGAGGCTCGCCATGATTTACGGGTTTATAAATCGGAGTGCATTATATTCCGGGATTTTCTCAGTCACACCCGGGGCCCGATACCGATCGCCGATAATCGCGAGATCGAGAGGCCCTTCTCTCCTATGCCACTTGCTCGGCTGAACGTAGAGGATAGGGAAACCGACAGGTGGATTCCAACTTTTGAGACCCTTCGGTGTAATTGCGAGTACTCGATGAATAGTAAAATAGTGGAATTCACGGTTTATACGGTAGGGATGGAAATGAAACGTCTATCCACCCACGGGTTTTCCTTTACGTTAAGGCGAAGTGAAACCCCCTTCAAATCAGTCGATTCGAACACAACACTTTTTTTTAAGGGTATTAGACCAAACTGTCCGAAACTTTGACGCATCACTCCTGATCGTCTAAGAATTGTCCTGGCACATTCAAAATTTGGATTTCTTTTTTTTTTTTTCATTTTTTAACTCAGCCCAGACCAGAACTAATATGGCGTCCACCTCTCGTATTTCGATCAATGTACAATTATCGAAGGCTCTGATATGAGGGCCGCAGAAAGCACGAATCCAGAGGATTTCTGGAGTTTTACTTCGATTTCTTTGTAATTATTGCACGGAAATGACAGGTGGAGTATGCCATTTGGTACAATACCCAATATAATTCGACACAGCTGTCAATATAAAAACCAACGTCGGCAAAGTTAGCATTTAGAAAAATCTTTTTTATCGACGTCGATCAAGTTCCTCGACGTGTTTCACTTCACCTCAATTACACGTTAATTGCGCGCTAATTATATGCAATTGTTAACGAAGGTTCGGCCCGATCTAAGGTGCGACCACGTTGGAGTTAACGTGTGACTATATGTTATTTTGAAAAAATATGTTAATAATTGTCGAGGTTGATAAAAAATGAATTACTTTGAGGCACGTCTCGGCTGTAATGCCCTACGATGTAATACTTTAAAGTGCCAGGAGAAAGACGCGTTGCAACGCCGATTTGCATTTCGACTTTATGGCACACGTAACGGAGAATTTATTTTCTTCGGTGTCTACTCTTTGCCGGATTTCAAGGCAGGTGCATTTCGAACCGAGCCCGGCTATAAGTCGAAATACTGACCCACATAAAGAATCTCCCCGACATTCGAGACTTTCATACGTGACGGTCTGTCGCTAAATGGGAAAGCAAATTTAAGCTAATGGAAGAGACATCGACTGTTTGATCAACCGTTTCGAGCATCGATGTCTCCTTTTCAACCCCTCTCGTACTTCGGCCCCATGTCCCTCTCCTTTTTCCTGACCTATACCCCACAGTCATTGACTCTTCCCATTTCGCATATCCGGGAACTCGAAGAGTCGGCATTTTACCGAGACATATTTGTTTTCCCATCCGTCGATATTTTTTATTGCCCTTTTAAACGAGGTGATAGATATACGCCGGGTTGATAGGAAATTCCTGGGATATTGTTTATAAAGCTCTCCTATCCGTACTACGATATCGCGACCCTGGTAGCATAGAATAATTTCTAAATGTTTCTTGAAAATCTCAATGACATATTTACATTCAATAATTTACAAACATATAGAGAAATATTTTTTAACTTATTAACGTAATGAAAATACATTTTTTACTTCACGACTATTGTCGCACACTTCATTTGGTATGAAAAAACACGAGAAATCTTTTTAATATGTTCGGCAGATAATATTTAAAAAATACTTGTATTAAAATGAAACGAAATGTTTTGTACGTCTGGTAGAAAAATATCATGAAAACACATGGAGCTGATATATAAATATTATAGAGATAATATTCTAAAGTAAACGTTTTGCAAATATTCCAAATGTCTGGTAAATGTTTACAAAATTTAGGATATTCGTTAAATATATAGAAAATATAGGAGAAATATTTTGTGCTACTAGGGGAAGGACGATCGATTTTCCAAACGATTTTATCGCGCGGCTCGAATATACCGATCGTTTTCTTTATTTAATTACGGGCTCTGCCTTGTTGCGTGGCATTTGTTGGCCGAAAGCTGATCGAGCTTTCTGCTCTCGGTGATCTATTTCTTCCGTTCTTTGTGCGTCCGGGTTATTGCATCGGGCCGCAAATGAGTCACGGCGCGCAATGACGAGCGACCGAATGAAGAATTTCACTCTTGCCGCAGGCTTTTCGCAATTGTCACAGCCGCCTGAACATTTTCGAGTTTGCCGGAAAAACCACTGTCATCGAGTGTGGTAATCGAGTCACGGTCCGCTCGGCGTACTTTGGCGGCCGTCTTCGCAAAACACCGGCCGCGCTTACGCTCGACACTTAATCCGATTTAAACTAAGTCCTCGGACGCCGTTTGCTCTCGTTTCGTTTTCACTTTTCTCGGGTGTACGCACGTGTACCCTGTCGTTCGACCGCTCTCTAGCAAGCCTAGGTGTCTAAAACCGAGGAAAAACGGTAAACAGACGAGGAGCAAGAAACTACTTCCTTTTATCCTAGAAACTCGCTCGAGTTTCGAGCCAGATACATTTGCGGCGAGAACCGCGATGTCGAGAGTCTATAC